AATTTACCCCTGATAGTAACCTCGGGTCTTATACTTGTAGATGAATCTCTTCAAAATTTAATTGTAACCGGACTCACTGTTATCATCTATAAAAACTACCTAGATTTTAGATGATACTTATATTTTTTACCAAAGTCGTACGAAAAAGTCAACCCTTGCCTTGCGTGAAACACTGGTCCATATCCGATGTCAAGACGTCGGCCTTGGGGGGGGGGGACGCTACTATTTCGTTGCTGTGCATTTTGTTCGCATGAGTACATTAGATAAAACAAAGACAATAGAAAAGATCTTTGGATAAAACAACCAAGTATTTATCAGACAGATTTATTACATGTAACATAATTTAGGAATTTAGAAAAACCAAAGCATGCAAGTATGCCTACTTGGTGAAAACTCCTCTGACATGGGGATCATATAAACCTGGTCCAAGCATATTCTTATCATTGATCAACCTTTACATGTAGTTTGTGGCCTGTTATCAGAATTGTCATGCAATGGAAAGGGAGCCCCCCCCCCCCAATGTAACTGCATTACTTCTGGACTGTAAGAAAGTAACCCCGTGGTCAGACACCTTTCAATGACAAAGCCAAGAAAAAATATTACAGAAATTTATTGTAAGTTTTTATTCTGTTAACACATAATTACATTGAAGTGGTACATTCATGTACTTTTTTGTTTATTCAAAATTTGTTGTGTTTCAAAAGCGATTGTTTTGTCTTTGCTATACTTCCTCATCTAGAAAAGCAGCAGTGCACACATCTTATCAGCTGTATGTAAACTACAAACAAATATCTTATCAGTTGTTTGTAAATAGCAAATAAAGAAAGTGGCCCAATTTAAAGCTATTTACCCTCAGTTCAGTTATGTTTGTAAACCATGCATATTAATGAGATGCACTAGTTGGGTGTACAATGGATAAACAAAAACTTGGCAATTTGTTTGCAAACAAGAAAAAAAAACAGTTTACTTGTACAAAATATTTTTTTTTTCATAAAATAAATACATC